TGCCTGTTCATGAATCTTCTAAGACTGTCTGGGGAAGCAGAACAGGCATTGCTGCTGATCTGGAAACATTAAAGAACATATAAGAAACTAAGAGAATAAGGATGATGTGATGGTGGTAATGAGGATAGCAGTAATGGTTATGTTGACAGAAATGAATAAGGGTGATTGTTGCTGGTGTTGGTATGAGCATAAAGACAAGGAGGAATGGTTTGGTTTACAGAGTGTGGCACATTTAATTTTTAAAAGTGAATAGTTGTGGCCACAGAGGAAGACAATGCAGCCAGTTGTGATGAGACCTGATAGATAAGGTCAGATGGAAGGGGAGGAAGACCCCTCCCCTATCAGTGGACTTGGGGAGGGGCATGGAAGGAGAAGAGGGAGAGAGGGTAGCAGTGTGAGGGGATGAGGGAAGGGGCCACATCTGGAATAGAAAGTGAATAAACTATAATTAATAAAAAATAAATTTAAAAAAAATGAATAGTTGTTTCTTCTTGTTTTTGTATTATCATACTTGCAGTGGTGACTCCTGTTCTTGTAGTCATATTGACCAATCTCAGTAAAGCTAGACCACTGTCTATAAAATTGCCTCAAGCTTATCCACAAATATGATGTAGCAAAAATTAGTTTAAAGAAACAAGACATTGTATAAACCAAGTAAGCCCTGGGAAAGTCAACAGCAAATCTGTTTTTGCTTGCGAGAGATCCCAAACAGATAGGTTCTGTTCCAAGTTGCACGAAATACTTAAAAACACACCTCAGCTAACTTAACTATTTCAAAGGAACCAAGTACTTACTCTCTCACCATTCAAGGTAATCAAATTAGATGGTAATGCAGAAAATAAATAAATGAATGAAGATAAAATACAAAAGACAAAGACTAGCTGTGAGAATTTTTCTACCAGAACGAATCATTACTTAAGGACCAGAACTTCTGTTGTTGTTGTTTTGCCTTATGGAGAGCACTCTGAGCTACGACCACAATCCAGTTAGTACTCAGTTAATGTGTGTCTGACAGGAAAACACAGAGCCAAATCTAACAAGGTATCATATACAAATGGATTCTTAGCTAATAATTAAATAAATAAATGTTTTAATGTTTTCTGGAGTTTTCAGTTTACAGCCTTCTAGAGAGGGAGAAAAGATCATGTATGCTCCCACTTATGTGAAACTAACTAATGAGAATTGGAGGAATGAGGCTTCTTCAACATCAAAACAATGTACTCAGTTTCTAGCACCTATTAATATCATAATTGGTATTAATTAAAAAGCCTATAAAGCATTATACTGTGTCCAATAAAACCACAAAGGAGTATACACCTACCAAGAAAGGAAATTCATCATATTCCACACATTTTGGCAAAAGAATGGCACCCAATTCCCTTTGAGAATGACAAGAATTATATTTTCATTTTTTCAGAGATCACGGCTTCTCTCTAAACAATCCTTTATAGGAAAAGAACGTCTATTTTTATTCTGTCTTCTGTCACTTTGCATATTATAGACCCAATCAAAGTTTGTCAAAGAAAAATAGTCTCCTTTTCAAGAGTGAATAAAATGTTCGTTTACTTTGGGTAAATTTCCGCCTTCAATCCGACCATCTGGATCTAAATTAAGGTACCCTACTTTGAACATGGGTGTGCAACACCATCTGGCTCCCCAAAAGCGGCAATTACTTCAGGTAAATGAGCATTTTGCCTAATTCTAAGCAAGTGTATTCTCCTATAAGAGACGATGGCATAAATACACACCCCTTTTATCTGCCTGCTGCACATCTTCTTGGAAAAAAAAAAGTAAGTCTGTGTTCTGACTAAAGGTGGTGATTTATTATATGTGTGTAAACATCTTAATTTTAGGATAACTTGCTACTTCCAGTATTCAACAAGTGACAAGCTTTCTCTTAGCCAACTGAATAACTAAGAATGGAAGATTTGCCTGTGACTAAGGAATCTTAGGATTCACTGAGATGTTTGCCTACGGTGTGGGGAAATACAGTTTTCCCTGTAGGACAGACTCAGGCAGTCTCCAACATGTAGTGGAGGATAAAAGCTTCCAGGGGTCAAAGGAATTCAGCATACCACCTCCTGCCAACATTCATCGTTACTTTCTAGGTTGGTGCACACCTAGAAACCCATCACCCAGTACTGTAAGGCAAGAAGCTCAAGAGCTGCAATCCAGTCTTTCCTTTGTCATGAGACTCTTTCTCAAGCAAACAAATATAAAGGAAATGTCTTCTCTAGGGTCTCTGAGAAATGAGACAAAAAATAAGGACTATCACTTAGGAAGGTGCTACTGTTTACAACGGGACAAATCAAAGCAAAGGAAAAGCTGTGCTATGGCTCTTTCAAGTTTGTCAAGTTACTCACTGAGACTACTGCTGACAGATTAAACATTTGTTCTCACTACAAAAATCACCCTGTAATTAAATTGGCAGAAATGATGATTAACGAAATATCAAGATACGTAATCATTAATCAAATGAAGATTTTGAATTTGCATCTGTGTCCTTTTAGAAAGTGAGTTCTTGAGTGCCAACTTTACGTTGAATTTTTAGGACAAAATCATTATCAATAAAAGGCCAGCCTTGGCTGAGTCCCTGTTATTGGTCTCCTTTACAGGAACAACAAAAGTGAATGTATGGAGTGTGAGTACACTTATGAGATTACTGGCATACTTATAAAATTAATAATTAAAAAATGTTATTTTGCCTTATCCACTCCAGGATGGAAGACAAAAACTTTATCTAAGATTGTATTTTGAAATACATCCGTCCTGGGATTTCCTAAATATTGAATCTTGCATTTCTGTTGGAAAGCACAAGCACATCAGGTTAAACTCCCAGCCAAAGTATTTACATCTCCAGGGAAAACTAAAGGAGAAGGTCTGAATACAAACATGGACTGTGGGTTCAAGAAATCTGTTACAGGGCAAACGGAAACATCTGGTCGTTTTCAGAGTCCTCTTAATTTGAAAGCACTGACCAAAACAAGCTGAGTTCTGCCAAATACATCTTGGCATGTATTAAGGAAAGGAAAAAAAAAAAACAAAAAACAAAAAACAGAATCTGAGAGGGAGTATTTTTCTCACTACAGTAGGATTTATCAGTGATCAACTCCCTCTGTTAACATTTTGATGTGATGAACCTGTTTCCAAGCAGAACATGCAAACCTGCCTCCTGTGCCTGTGCCTTTTTTTTTTTTGTATAATTCATCTAACTTTTGGGCTTAAAAAATATTTTTAATCTGTAATCTGTGTTACATGAAGTGGTGGTGGTGAATGGTTTGAATTATCCATGCCCGGTGTTAGAAAAATGAATAATTTACGTATTAACTCATAGGAAGCTGTCTCTATCACATTGTCACCAACACGTGGAGGGGTTGCCTGGGGTTATGTGAGGTTACTTCACAGCACTCTAGAAATAATAAAACTTTTGTACACTTCCACACTACAATGAAAAGTTCCCAGCCGCTAACACAAGAACTGTTTCTGCCAGCTTCCAAGCTCCATGAGCACTGGTCCAGGGCTGGGCAAACCAAAGTTCAAGCTCTGATGACAGCCTGTTGACCTCAGGTGCCCCGGGCTGCTCTGAGCCCCAGCTTCCTGCTGTTACAGGACTCATGGAGGAAAGAGGAGGCTCCAGGAGGCTCTGCCTCATTACTTACTAATCATCAGCCTACCTATAGGTAATGATTTCATTTATTAGTTCATCTGCTTGTTCCTCTGCCCAATAATCATTTAATTTATCGAAGTTATTTTAAGTGAAATGAAAACAAGACCCAATCATACATCCATTCGACAGCATAGGTGAAAGCTTACTACCCCAGGACACCCCTCTGAACTTCGAAGCACTACAAGGCAGGCTTGGCCTTGGGTGAGGAGCTTTTCAAGGCCATGTTGACTGATTCTATAAGGGAGAGTAGTACTATTCTTATCACTAAGTTAGAATTTAAAGTATGAGCTCTGCCGCTGAATTACCCGCTCCCCACTTTGTGATCTAAGTCATATTATGACTTCCCCGAGCCTCCCTCCGTTTTCCCACCTGTAAGCAGACAGTGCTCACTGCTGCCTGAACCCCATGGGGATCAAGTAGAACTTGGCACCACGGATGTGCCAGCAACAGTGGAAGCAGCGGTAAATCACTGCCAAGAATCGTCAACTTTGACACTTCTCCTCAGACTTTTACCACAGCTGTTAGAACTGTGACGGTCTGGACACAGAACTGTTGGTTCCAAAGTTGGTGTTCTCAAAAACTAAGAAAATGTAACCCAAATCTCACTCTGGCAGAGGGGCTGGAGACTGGCTCTAACTCGCCGCCCCTTCTGGGTGTCTAATTTCTATTGGCAGCAGCTGAAGAACCAAATGGAGCCAGAAGCCCTCCGGAGGGCTGACAGTGCCTTCAAAGTAACCCTCTGGGATTTTGACCATGGCAACTGACGCTCCAGCCCCCAGCCCCCTCCCCATTTTTCAGTGGAACTTCTCTTTGTGCTCGAAATCTCAACTTGCAATTTTGGAAAAACTTTGCAAAGCCAAAGCCTAGGCTTGTTGTGATTCTGCTGGAGGGACAGGGTTAGTTAGCTCTTCATAGACAAGGGGGTGGGCATGTCGAATGGAGGGGGCGTGTCTGCCCTGACCGGATAGCCCGGTTGCGCTGGAACCTGGAAAGTTTGTTGTTGTTTGCTTGCCATTATTTATGACCAGCAACCTTTAGCGGGAAATAGGCGAAAGCCTAGATAACAAGAGGAGCAAGGTCCGAACTACAGGAAGGGCAGCGTTCACGTTTTGGTGCCGCTGAGTTTGTGGGCTTGGCAATAGGGAGAGGCTAGGCACCAGGAAGATCTCTGTAATTCCAGAGGCCCATCCTAGCCCACCTTGGCTTCCTTCCCCCAACCCCGTGTTCCTGGATTTTGGGAGCTAGCTGGGTCCCGGAGGTCGCCTGCGCTCTGCTCAGCAGCGCGAGCCGCCTAGCGGGGTGGGGCAGCGCGGGGCACCGCCTCCCTCCATACCTTCTCTCCCCGTGGATCACGTAGGAGCTGCGGAAGAAGCCCAAAAGCTCGTTCTCTATCAGGGCATTGTAGATAATCTTCAGATTGTAATTCCTCTGCGCGTCTAGGGTTCTGTTCAGCACCACCACCAAAACCTGGGTTTGCGGGTAGAGGAAAAAGCCTGCCACCGGAACAGCCCCGGACGCCCGGTCCTCCGCCACTTGCACCTTCTCCACCGCCACCCGGGAGGCGTGCAGCACCACGTAGCGGGTGGCGTTCCGGCACGCGATCTCCACGTTGACCTCCCCGGAGAAGGTGAAGTTCTCCATGAAGGCGGTGAGCATCAAGTTGTAGTGCAGGGGCTTGAGACGGCCGGATAGGCGCAGCTGCGTCCAGGGCTGCCACGGCTCGGGCTCTTCCTCCGACGGCGGCTGGGCAGACGGGGTCCCCGGCGCGTCCACCTCGCCGGCCTCGCGCTGCGAGGACTCGCCAGCCGCGTGGTGGTTGCGCCGGGCGGATCCAGGGTGGCTGCCGTTGCCGCCGCGCTCAGGAAAGCCCCCGGGGCCACCGTCGGTGCCCGGCACCGGCGCGCTCGCTCCACACTCGTCGAAGCGGAGGCTGAGCAGGACCGCCAGCATGGTGACGGCCAGCAGCGCCACGATGGACACGGCGAAGGCCAGCACGAGCCGCTTGTGCACCGCGATGTGGCGCTCCGTGGTGCGGGGCCGCGCTCCCACCGAGTCAGCCCACGGGTCCGAGAGCCCCCTGCCGCTGGCCCGGAGCGCGGCGGCGTCGTCTTCTCCCATGGTGGTGGCAGCAGAGGGTGAACTGCTCTCCTCGGCCCCCTCCTCCTCCTCCTCCTTCTTCTTCCTCTTCTTTTTCTTCTTCTTCTTTTTCTTCTCCTCCTCCTGCTCCCCCCTCTCGCCGTCTAGGGCCATCACAGCGCCTCCTCCTCTTCCCCCGCCCCCTCCGACACCCCCAGCGGGCGGGCCACCCGGGCCACCTCCAGCACAGTCATCGGGAGGGCGCACGCGGGCAGAGGGCGCGACGCCGCCTGGGACCCCCGGGAGGCCAGCCCGGGTTCTCCTAAGACAGACTCCGGTGGCTAGTGACGACCCCCATCAGCCCCGCCTCTCTCCGGACACCAGCTGCGGATCAGGGGGCGCGGTGGGGGGGGGAGGCAGCCGGCTCCGGGTCGCGCCCAACTTGGGGAGAGCGCTTCGCTCGCCGGGTGCGCGCTACTCGTCGGTCGGGCTGGCCCCGGGCGCCCCGGGCACACGCCGCCCCCGCCCCGGTGCGCCGGCGGCTCGCGCGTCCTCCCCGCCGGCGGCGCCGCACTCTCCCAGGCCGGTGGCGGCGGCTCTCGGTCGGTAGGACGGAGGGCGCCGGGGACAGCCACCGAGCAGAGCAGGCAGGCAAGTTAGGGCTTCGCCCGGCACCCCGCACTCCGGCAGCCTTGGGTCTTCTGGGCGGGATGTGCTCGCAAAGACAGTTGCGGCGGCGGCGGCGGCGGCGGAGGCAGCCCGGAAGGCGCCGGAGCCTTCTTCCACCCCGCAGTGGGAGCCGAGAGAAAGGACCGGAGGACCGAGGGAGAGACCGGAGTGAGGCAGCCGGAGGAAGTCCCACGGATGCCGCGGAGCATCCGTCCTGAAGACGCCTTCTCCACCCTGGACACTTTAAGCAGTGGTGGCGCTAAAAGGCGTGAGGTTGCGGACTGGACAGCAAGCCTCCCGCCTTCCGATGTTGTCCTGCCCCTCGGGAGAAGACAAGTGAGGAAGTGTCCGGCCAGGGCATCCACTTCAGGTAGATGAAGGTCTGAGCCGTGTCCCCGGGGCGGGGGAGAACCGAAGAAGAGCGTGTGTGCCAGCGCGTGTGCATGTGTGTGCGCGTTTGTGTGCGCGGTGTGTGTGTGTGTGTGTGTGTGTGTGTGTGTGTGTGTGTGTGTGTGTTACCACGGACCCCGGGTCTAGATTGCCAATAGGCTACTCCAGCTGCATTCAGGGACTGAAACTCCCGGGGAAACGGAAGGAGAGGGAGAGCGAGTGAGCAAGTGAGCGAGTGAGCGAGCCGGGAGGCAGGGCAGGCGGGAGGGAGGGGAGAGGTTGCGCGGCAGAGGCAGGCGCTGGGAGATTAGAGAGCTTTTCTCCGCTCTGTCACACCAGACACCCACAGCCACAGAGGGGGTTGCTGAGCTGCCTGCAAGAGTGCATTGTAAATTTTCAGCGCAACAAGCCCCGCAGTCTCCCCTCTTCCGACTCCTTAGCCCCACTGCGGCTCCCCAGAGGGACAACTCGAGCCTTGGGCTATTAGCATCAAGAGCAAAGGAAGAGCCTGCTGGGGAGAAGGCGGCGGTGTCAGATCACACTTCAAACTCGCCAGAGGATTTGGACAATTGTATGTAAATTGAAATAAATTCTCCAAAGCCTGGCCGCATATATTATGCTGGTGTAGTGGGGCCAGGTGGGCAGTACTGAAATAATGGCTAGCAAGAAAGCAATAGAAAGGAGACCAACTCCCCATAGGGTGCGTTTTATTTTTAGATTGGGAAAAGGGTTAAAACATAATGTCTACAGTACAGCATTCAAAAGAGAATGCACGGAAAACTGGGAGGGAGGCCCCATGACTTTAGGTTTTCCTAGAACGGTGACTCAATACACCCCGTGATTGCTCAGCTTGTCACTTCACCTAAGCCACAATTACTTTTTACAACTTCATTGCCACCTTTAGGAAGGCCAGTGTTTGCTGACAGCAAGAGTCACAGAAGCACAGAGCAGAGCCTGCTCACTGCCTTTAGACTCTCGTGAGTTGGCCGGAGTTCTGGATTATGGTGGATTAGTGTGCCATACAAACTTCAAAATGAGCCTTCAGTGTTGCAACTAGAACAAAACTCAGAAAGACAGCCACCTCAAAAGCGACAGTCAAAGAGTTAGTCATCTCTGATTTTTAACAAAACATGACTGGCTTAGTCATTAGAAAATGAAGAAAGTTCTCTTTACATGTCTCTTTTGTTTCTTTAAAACCAGACTGCATTTAAGAAGTCATGTCCATCATTTTCTTTATGGAAAAAAAAAAAAAAAAGACATGCTATTAGCTTTGGGATACTGACAAAAGTGTTTAGAATACTATTTTAAAAGCCTGGTCGATGAAGAAGAGCCCAATTACACAACATCAACTTTAAACTGAACGCTTTGCTGGAGGAGGCTCTCTTCCCTTTATCCCTAGATGGAGTACTTGCTCAATACCATGTATTCTAAATGTCCACTTGCATCATCGTAAATGATGATGAAAATAGGTGCCAGGGTGGGTATTTTTAAGCATGTTGTATGTGGGCCGTCAGCAACAGACCCAGGGAAATGCCACGTTCTGTTCCAGTTACTTTTTCTGCTCTGTTTTTAAGCGTCTTTGTTCTTGCTTTTTCATAAGTATCTGGCTATGTGCATTTTAGGAGTTAAGGGCTTAGGAGTTAGCTGGTTTCCCCCAAATTAGGAAATACAGTTTAGCAAGCCAAAAGAGCACCTGGCACTCAAAGAGTTCACCTTATTCCTCTGTACTTCAAGGACCAAATCTAGTCACTGGGGATTACTGGCATAAAGGACCTGGATTACCAGCAGCTTCTAGAATGAGTTCTGGGAATCCAAGAACCGCTGCCTAATGAAGAGACTATCCTGTAAGGGTCTCCAAGGGCTTTCTCTTTCTATTATGATGTTAGTCAGGAAGAGTCCAAGAAGGCTTCTACTGTTTATGTAGCTCATCAATGTCTACATACTTGTGAAAATTACTGCAAGGTAACTCTCAAACACTTTGCAATTAAAAAAAATTGCTTACTGATTAGAAAAGTTTCTCCTGACTGATTAAATTAGCAAATGGATTGTTTTTGAGATACCAAGTGAAGCAAATTCAAGTTTATTACCATAAAGTGGGCACAAGTTATTAGCTCATTGATTCCCTTATAATGTCGTTTTACCCAATACACTGAGTGTCAAAGATCAAGTAAATGTTTCTTTCTCTCCTGTTAATATAACAGTGTTCTTTTTTTTTTTTTTGGTAATTTTTGAAAGTAGAAATAACCTGAGAAACAAGCTTTGACAGGATACATTTTTAAAATGTTTGTTCTACTTCAAACCAGAAACAATAAGGAGGAAGCAAAGTTTCAGGCTGAGGAATATTGAAGGAATTAACCATGAGTATTCTGTTTAAGAGTTGTCCTTAGTGTTTAAGCCCCTTGGTTAGAGGAAGGCTTGGCCTTGAAGGTGCTGTATCCATGCAGTGCTCTTCACAGGGGATGCCTTCTCAATGTCTGACACTTCTCAGGAACCATTTATTGTGGTGAGGAGCTCATGATCATTTCTCTTTAACAAACGTCAGTAAAATTTTGTTCAGATTTGATAGAGGGATTTGTAAGAGTGAATATAATCTGAATGTTTAAAATTCATGAAGCCAACCAGAAGTTGATTTTAATCAAATCTGCACTTTGATCCAGTCGATAATCAAAATGAACTGTCTTCCATGGAGTGCTGGTTTCAGGGTCTTTACTCATTCATGGTTTAAACTTGAACTGCCTTCTCCCCAACCCACACTGATTTGTATTTACAAGCACAACTTGAGCGTCCTTGTTTACTCAATTCCTGAGAGTGTGATTAGCTTCCTCAGGTCTAGAAACTGCATGACTCAGAAGAAAGAGCTAAGTCCCCACTCAACCTTCCCCACCTTGTGTTGTCCTTGCCCACTTACTTAATCAACTCAGTTCCTTGAAGTGTTACTATTGGAGGGTTCAAGGAGGTAACCTCAAATGTATCTTCCGGCTCTCAGGAGCTGTACTCCTCATGTTGTCAAGAGGTTTTCAATCTTCTCCATAAAAGACAAACAAAACTTAAGCTAGGGACACAAGCTCAGTCAGTGAAGTACCTGCTCTATGAGCATGAAGACCCGAGTTGGATCCCCAGGGTCTATGTTAGCTGGGCATGTTGCCACATGCTTGTAATTACAATGTGGAAGAAGCAGAGATGAAGGAGTCCAGGTCCTCCTTGACAAGTTCTTGGACAGTGAGAGTCATTGTCTCAAAACAACAGCAACAAGAAGCAAACCCACAGGTGAACTGTGTCTAAAGAACAATACCTGAAGTTAATCTCTGGCCTCTATACACATCCACACACATTCACATGCACAAACACACACACACACATACACACACACACACACACACAATCAAAGTAAAGTAAAATTTTACTTTAAAACTTTGAGGAGTAAAACAACTTTATAAAAACACTCTACTGGCTAAAGCACAGGAGACCAACCACCTGGCTACCCTGGTAGTTAATAGTTAATATGTGTTTAGGGCAGAAATACGTTTCTGAAGACCATACACAACAGAAGACCCTCACTGACAACAGAGGGCAGAAATCACTGCTCTCCCTCTGAAGTACTGCCTCCATGTGGCAAGAGGAAGTCGGCATCTTTTTGAAATCCAAAATAGTGATAATTTGATGAAAAATTTAAATTGCACAAATCCAGGTTACATCAAAGATATTGATAATTTTTATACTGCACAATTTATAAGATTTGCCCTGAATATTTCATGAAGTCAACAGTTTGCCAACTAAAATACCTGGATTTAGCTGTCTGTTGTTTTACTTTTAAGAGCTTAGCCTGGATGGAAATGGCATCTGAATCCGAAGATGCCTTTTTAAACCACCTGAAAACTGCTGAAGTTTTTTTGTTTAATGCCTAAAATACCAATATATTAGTACATATAAGTGCAGGGGATGTCTTAAAGTTGTGCTGAAGGGAAAAGAGAATAAGTATCAGCACAAAATGAGCCTCCCTAGATGGCAAATATAAGAAAAAGTATGACTGCAATTTATGATAAAATTACCAGTGCCAGCATTCAGTGTTCCATGCAAAGAAGAGAGTATGAAGAATTCAAGAAGGTTCTATTTTTCTTCTGGGGTTTCTGCTGCTAGGTTTAAACTCTTCAGTGTTCACTCTGGGCTTTTTGGTTTATGATCTCTATAAGAAAGCTCCATAAAGCAAAGTATGT